GTAAAGAATGAGGAGAGGAGAAGGCTTCCCAAGCACCTCTCTGCACAAGGGAGAGGCTGGAGTGACCATGGACCCTGTAGCCAGATTTGGGTTCAAATCCCGGCCTTGTCACTAGCTGTGTGACGTGGGTCAAGTTGGTTAACTTTTCTGAACTTTGGTTTCTTCGTTTGTAAAATGGAAAGGTGGGCAGGATAGAGGGAAGAGCCCGTTCAGGAGCCTGCTTTGTGTTGGAGTCACAAGTTATAATACTTTACATTTGTAGACTTGCCCTAATTGTTTTCTACATGTTATCCTAATATCTGCATATTTCTACATGTTACCCAAATTTTATTGTTAAAGGGGATTGTTCTCTTTTGGCATGTGAGCGAACACACTCTGGCCAGTTTAGTAATAAGGGAACGTTTGTGGGATGCTCACTCTGTACCAGGTACCATAGTGAGGTTTAACATGCATTATCTCATTTAATCCCTGCAGTAACACACAGTCTCTCTCAAAAATAAATAAGCTTAAAAAAATAAAATAAAAATAGGGCGCCTGGGTAGCTCAGTCGGTTAAGTGGCCAACTCTTGGTTTCGGCTCAGGTCATAATCTCACAGTTTGGGGTTCAAGCCCCACATCGGGCCCCGCGCTGATGGTGTGGAGCCTGCCTGGGATTCTCTCTCTCCTGCTCTCTCTGCCCCTCCCCTGCTCTCCCTCTCTCAAAAAATAAGTAAACTTAAAAAAAAAACCAACAATCTCTACAGTAACCTTACGCGTTAGATACTGTCATCATCTCTGTTTGGCGGATGAGGAAACTGAGGCACAGAGAGATTAAATCACTTGGTTGGGGCTACACAGTTAGGGAGTTCCAGAGCGGGGATTCGAACCCAGGCCTCCGGCTCCACTGGCAGCCCAGTGTCATGCTGTTTTGGCTTCAGGTAGAAGAGCTGGGCCTGGTTCCTGGCCCGGAGGGGGCTCCGCAGCCCAGGAGGAAGCCTCACGATAACGCCTGGGATGGTGGAGACCAAGGACTCGGTGCAGCTCCGGCAGCTCAATCTGGTGCTCCTGAGGCAGCTGTGGGTCGGGCAAGATGCTGTGCGGCGGTCGGTGGCCAAGGCAGCCTCAGGGGTGAGCACCCGCCTTGAGAACTCCCGGGGGTGTGGAGGGGGCTGCCTGACCAGGCTGGAATCCAGACCTCCAGTGCAGCGTGCCCAGTTTAGTGGCGAAGGGGAAACTGAGGCCCAGCGAGGAAGGGACTGGGTGGGGTGTGCAGAGGCCGGAGCAGGAATGAGGACCCAGGCTCTCGTGCCTAGTGCAGGCCAGCTGGGTGTGTGAGCGGGCCGCTGCCTGGTGACCTGGCCTCTCTGTTCCAGTCAACCCGGGACTCCAGCGGCAGCTGTGACTCCCAGACTCCATCGTCCCAGGAGACGTCCTCGGTGGCCCCAAGAGCCTCCAGCCTTCAGGGTGCCCACCAGGGTGGCCCCTGTGATATGTCCTGGGCTGGTGGGGCCAGCTCTGGAGTGATGTCTCTCCCACCTGCTGCATACCGACGCCGGCCGTCCCTGGGTTCACTGAGGCCCTGCTCGGCACCCTTACTGGCCATCTCAGACCCAGATGGCACAGAGCTTTCAGGAGAGCCGGACAGGCCGGGGCCTCAGGAGGCCCAGGCCCAGAGGTCCATCCTGGATCAGCAAAGCAGGCCGTCCAAGGTAACGTGGGAGAATAGAACTTCCTTGAACGTCAGTTCGCCTGTCTGACAAATGCGGTCATGGGCGGCCTCCCTTACGGGGTGAGAGGCTTCCAGAAGGTGCCTCGAGTCATGTCCAGCTCACCCTAAGTGCTCGAAAAGTGGTGGTGTTAGTTTCTCAGCACTTTGGGAAGAAGGTGATGAGCCTGTTATACAGATGGGAAGACCAAGGCTCCGAGGCTTGGTCAGAGTCACACATAAGGGGAACTTGGGGGGCCAGTTCTTATCCTCCAGCTCCCGAGTCCGTGGCCGAGCCCCGGGGCCCATGTCAGGGTATAAGTTAAGACACAGCTCCTTTCCTTCCCCCAAGGTGGGACCTCCTTCGGGCTGGGCCTGCAGGCCTAGTCTTTGCCGCTCTTTGTCTCCCTCCTCAGCCAAGAGTGACCTTCGGTGATGAGTCTTCAGTGCCTGACAGGAGCTGGCGCCTCAGACCATACTTGGGCTACGACTGGATCGCAGGTATGGCCGCTTCCAGATACCTGCCTGAGCCCCTGTCGGGACTGAATGAATGAATGAGTCAGAGCTGCCATATTCTGTAGTATTTATTGGTGCTAGGCCCTTGCAAAACTCTGTATGCGTATCACTCTTTACCTTTTACTGCCCACCCCCAGCAACCTCAGTGGCCCAGCTGCTCTCCCTTTGGCTTCGTCCACCCTGTTCCTATCCATTTTTGACATGACAGCCAGAATGAATTTTTAAACATGGGGATCAGAATACTTAGCAGTTAGAAGAAAATCCAAAGTCATCATTTAGACTTAGGGGGTATGACCTAGCCTCACTTAGCTCTGTTGACATGACCTCTGACTATCCACTTTCTGGCTCTTTGCTCCAGCTTCTCTGGTCTCCTTGGTGGTCCTTGAACCTGCCATACTCACGGTCACCTCAGGGCCTTTGCGCTTGCTATTCCTGCTGCCTGGCGTGCGCTTCCCCAGGTTCACACCCTGTGGTTCCTTTTCGTCACTGAGGGCCCAGCTTAAAGTCTAGGCCTTTCTTGCGAGCATACTGTCGTAGGGCCACTGCCCCTGCGTCATTGTCTGTGGCATTAATCATTTGTATGTTCTTCGTATCATTTGTTCTCAGGAATCGTCTTGTTTCCTTGTTCTTTTTTTTTTTCTTGAAGTTTTTAAGTAATCTCTACACCCAGTGTGGGGCTTGAACTCCCAACCCTGAGATCACTTTCTTCCAACGGAGCCAGCCAGGCACCCCTTGTTTCCTTGTGTCTTGTCTGAGTTCTCCACCAGAACGCTAGAACGAATTTGAGCAGGGCCATAGCTGTCTTCTTGCTGTATTTCCCAAGCCTGAGCTTAGGTGTGGGACACATGGCAGGCCCTTAGACAGCACTTGTTGAATGAGAGAGTGAGTGGCCTTAAGAGGTGGGTGCTGTTTGGATCCTCGTTTTGCAAAGGAGGAAACTGAGGCACAGAGAGGTTGAGTTACTTCCTGAAGGCAGGTGCTCCATGGGGTTGCTGGGACCAGGGGTGGTGGAGACTCCGGCCCCATCCCAAGGATTTCCCAGCCTGTCAGCTCACTGCCTTGCTTGCCATTTGTGGAAAATGGAGGCATCCGCCTCCCGCCTGCCCTGTTCCTGTGCTCGCTCTCTTTTCCGAGGGTGAGCGAGCGCTCCCATCTAAGGACTGTCCCCGCGTTTGTACGCTCTGCCCCATCCCCTCCGGCCTCCCAGAGGATTTGCTTCCTGTGATTTCTCTCCTCCTCACTCGGTCCCAGCAGCATATGAACAGCCCAGAGGAGTGATGAGTGGTGGTTTTACCTGGTGCTCATTATGTGCGTTGTTCTTCTCTCGGCTTTACTCCTGTTCTCTCCTTTGCTTTTCACGGTGACCCTATCAGCTGAGTGCTGCTGTTGTCCCCGTTGACGGATGACAAGGCCGAGCCACGAGGGCTGAGCCACTTAGCAAAGTCTTCCCTCTGCTCAGGGGTAAAGCTGCAATGTGCTATTTTCTATTCCGCTGAAACGTTTCTCTTTTTTTTTTTTTATTATTATTATTTTTTTAATGTTTATTCATTTTTGAGAGACAGAGAGAGACAGAGCATGAGCGGGGAAGGGGCAGAGAGAGGGA